GCTCCCGTCTGCGCTCCAGCCTGGCCCGGGCCCCGCACGTCATTGCCAGCGTGCCCAAAAGGTCTGGGAGCCCCTCCTCACAGCTGACACACACCCCCCTCCGCTTTTCCTCTCCCCTCGCTGTCCTTTCTGGTGCTTAGAACAACCGCAAGAGCCCCGGGAAGGACATCAACGTCACGGGCGTCTGGGAACGGAACGTGACGGGGCGCGGTGTGACGGTGGTGGTGGTGGACGACGGCGTGGAGCACACCATCAAAGACATACATCCAAATTATGTGAGTGCCAGCGCCGCGGCGGGAGGGCGCAAGGGCAAGCTGGAGGCCGGGCGGGAAGTGCCTGGGAGGCTTGGCGCCCAAGTTGCAGGGGTACCAGCCTTTGTGCTGCCTGCGGGAGGTAGGTGTGCTGCCTCCCCGTGACGCACAGCAGTTGCTAAAGCTGCCTCTGTCGGTCCCTTTCCCACAGCAGCATCGAGCTGCAGCCCTGCGTGGAAGTTCCTGGGACTTCCAGGCTGTGTTTCAGCCCATGTAGCATGCTGCTGAGCCCTGCTTTTCCCCAAGGGAGGAGAGCAGAGCCCTGAGTCATGGCTGTGGGTCTGTTTTCAGAGCCCAGAAGGCAGCTATGACTTGAACTCCAACGACCCTGACCCTATGCCTCACCCTGATGAGGAGAATGGCAACCACCACGGGACCCGCTGCGCCGGGGAGATCGCTGCCGTGCCAAACAACAGCTTCTGCACGGTGGGAGTTGCCTACGGGAGCCGCATTGCAGGTACGAGCACGCCTCAGCACCCCGACATGCTGCACTCATGCCTGGCTTGGCTCATCGCCGATGCTGTGGGGCCGGGGCACGGCTCCCTGGGAGGGGTGGCTTGGCCAAAGCGGCTCTGAGTCAGCCGGTGCCTTGCTCAGGCTGGTTGATCTGTCGGAGGGAGGAACCGGTGTCTGCCTGAGCTCCTCTCCAGAGGAGACACTTCCTGGAAGAGTGGGTAAACGTGTGCTGGCCCAGCCTCTCCAGCGTTCTTTGGATTCCTCCAGCAGATGCACGTCCATACCGTGCAGCCTAAGCCAGGCAGACGTGCGATGACGTGCCCGCCCCGGTGCGGCGCTGCAGGGGAATCCCTGCCAATCCCCCGTGCTCCCCCAGCCCTGGGTCCCAGCTCTGCCTTGTGTGGATGGACGGGGTGTGAAGGGCCGGCTGCGTGCCTCTGCTCTGCAAAGCCAGGGAACGTGCTGCCGTGGCCTCGGCTGTCTCCGGAGCTCTCATGCTCCTTCACAGACGGAGGCAAGATCTCTGTGCGGGGCAGGATGCGTCCCTGGCAGAGCAGAGGAGGGTGCTGCTGTGCTGCAGCCTGGGACGTGATTCTCTCTGTACCCAGCAGATGGTGCCACGTTCCCTGGCTGTGACATGGGGCTGGGGAGCGGGTGGGCCCTGGGGTGCCAGCGGGGTGCTGGGGCTCTGCACCCCTGCCCTGGGCTCGGCTCCCTCCCTACCTCACCCTGACAGGGTGCTCCCTGAGCACCC